TATCATTTTAATCTGTACATGTCTGACTGGGCTTCGTGGCTCTTTGTTCAACAAATTGGGCTCCGAGGTCAAAAAGGTTAAGAACCCCTGATTTAAAGGAAATGAGTCAAAACGATTTTATCTAAGTTTTTGTATTTGTTTATCAAAAGTTCTGACTTMTAATGTGTCAATAGGTCACAATGAGCCGACCATCCCTATAGAGCACCTTTATCAGCTGAGCCGCCATGTTCTGCAGTTCATCACCCTGGAGAGGTCTTCCATCTATGACACCTTGTTAAAAACAACCACTCAGTCTGTCAACCCATCCAGAGAACAGAGGTATTACCTTTTTTAAATATATATAAACAGAATAAACAAAAAAATCACAATAACCTGCTGGAAACCGATTTAATAAAATGTTAGCCAAATCTGACAGCTGATTTATTCACCACAACATTTTTAGTTTGAGACACAATTTAGCTAACATATATCTTTACAGAGTCACTGTAGGTCAGTGGTGTCCAAAGTTAGTCCTCAAYGGCCYGTGTCCTGCATGTTWTAGGTGCTGCTCTGGTTCAACACAGCTGAACCTAAGTAGTGCTTAATTAGTAGGCCTCTTCAGTATGGCCCAGTCCCAATGCTCAGTGCGCACCCTCTACGCCCCTCTGTGAAGTGTGGATTCAGTCTAAGTGCACGTAAGTGTTGGAGTGTGCAGGTTACAAGCGTGCAATAAAAAAAAAGGAGAATTGTGACAGTACGGATTATGTCATCAACTTGCTCCTCTGCATCGTAACTGCAACATCCAACATGGCGGGACCAGTCACTTGTTTTGGCATTTTTATTGCTAAAAATGAAAGTACAACTGCAAAAAGCAATTGTTTTTAGGAGAAGAAAGCACTTGAAGTGAAGGAGACTCACCCRGGATTTACACTACATGCGACTCCGCTGCACTGCGGTGCGCAGTTCCCAGCTGTTCGTTTGCACTCCAATTTATACAGCCTCCGCTCCGGTGCAACACACAGAGGAGGGAGCGTGTGCAGGAAGGAGATTGTGCGATAAATACAGTGATAAATGTGGACGTCAGAGCAAAAAAAATTAATTCTGTGAAAGACGAATTCCAAACACAGCTGATAACATTGATATAAAAGCTTTTGTTATCTATGGTTGAAACTGTCGTCTTTTTGAAACTTCTGATTTCAAAATAAAATCCACGTGTATCGTGTGTGCACACATGCCTCATGCTACATGTTGCCGTCTGCTTCCCAAACAGAACGATACATTCTGACAACAGTTGTGTAGAAATATATCCATATATTGATTAATATGGCTGGGATTTCGACAGAATTATTCCGCCTTATGGTGTCCTATTTTGAAAATACGGATGTTGTGTTCGATCCTTTTCCTGTTGGTGCGACGTGACTTTTGTAAATTGACTCCGGAGCAGCTCCGGCGTTCGGCAAAAATTGGATCGGGTGGGAGTGCGAGTATTGGGACAGGGCCGATGTCAGCAACGTCTGCAGAAACCGACTAATTAGGCARTCCTTAGGTTCAGCTGTGTTGAACCAGGGCTGCACCTGAAACATGCAGGACACCGGCCCTTGAGGACCGACTTTGGACACTCCTGATGTAGGTGAATCYTTAGTAGCATTTATGAGGAGGTTGGGTTTAAGTTAACACTGTTTATTTTCTGAGCATAGCTTTTTTTTTTTTGTTTAGGTTGAAAAGAAGTCTCTGCCTTTTTTTATCGCTCTAAGTTTTACCACATTTATCAGTGTTTCATATACTTGCTGACTTGCTAAGCCGGTGTATTTTCAGCATCCAAGATGTGGCATTTCTTACATTTCAAACAAAGCAGCTGGAGTTTTATTTAAAATTATACACATATATTTGTAAAACTTGTATTTTGTAATTGATTTTAGAAGTTTAAAATAAGAAATAACTAAAAGCAAAGTTATTTATCTTTTTTAAACCAGAGAGAAGTTTGTGACGGTGACCGAAGACCGCATGCTTCTTGGTGTCGGTGTCATCGCCGTTGCAACTTTCATCCTTCATGTCAAAAAATGGGAACAGGTGAAGATATGGTTTCTTTAAAAAAACCCTATAATGGTTTTCATTAAATGTTTTAGTTGCTCTGAGTTGCATTGTGTATTTAAACTATTGGCTGCAGGAACCATACGTTGGTCTTTCTTTAAATGTGTTGCAGGTGGTCGAGGAACTGAGCCACATGACGGCAATCTCCAGGAGGAGCATTCATGATTTTACTCATGTGGTAGTCATGCACATCGTTGGCACCAATTCCTCTAAAGTATAAAATGTTTCTTTCTACTTGTTGTCTCTTTAAKGTTAGGTTTGTTGACGTTGAAACARAACGACACACCAGTGGAATCAGTTGCAKACAGAAAAAAAGACATTTGTGTACAACTTATGTGACCTGTGTGGRGTTGAAACCGTGATGAATAATCAATAAAATGTTATAAACTATGAAAATTTAGCATTTYTGTTTCCGTTGAGCGTGCATGCATTTATTTTTTTAAAAACTTGAATTAATTCTTGCGTTTCACAAACAATGCGAGCCTTTGTGTGTCCCTCCCCCCCAGCTCCGACCACTTTCAGCCATGTGCGACTGATAAAAGCAAGAAAAGCACAAACGATGACGTCTCTGCGTCTCCTGTTAGCGCAGCATCTGGAGAAGCAGAGCAACTGGAGCTCCAGTAGATTAGCAGAAGATCCAGGCCTGATTGAGTCACCTCCCCGGCTCCCCTCTGATCATGTTCTTTTAGCCCCCCACCGCCCCGTTAATC